GAGTGGTAGTGAAAAAGATTAGTGGCACATAATGGGCTCGGAAACAGCTCTCAAAATTCATTTACCTAAGCAAGTTACAATATTGATAAGCTAGTTACATAGTTTAACATATTTAAGTTTTTTTAATGCATGTACATAATGGCACAGGAATTGAACCTCTAAATGTGCCCCTAGTTTTAGTCTTATTTAATTTAAAAAAAATTATCATTTTAAGTTTTGTTTTTACATGTTCAACGTTCATTATCAGTCTTAGTAACATACTTATTTATGTAATTCAAAGTGGCTTGGCCTAGGTATGGAGATCCTTGTGAGTGGATGTATGGATAATTGTACAGATCCTGTACAAGTCATACACAGTATATGCTTAAAGTTTACATATACCTGTACATCTTCTACATGTATATACCATTTTATTCTGTAATTTGCTTTATTTAATAACTTATAGCTAAGAAGGTATCGCGCCTCTGTGTGAAAAAACCACCTTATTAAACTCACGTAAATAAAATAGTTTAAATATTTCGTTAGACAAATATCATGTCTGTCCAGAAAGATTGTGTAGAGAGGCTTATAATGCATATAAATACTGTATTCCTTTCAATACTGTGGAAGCTGTATGCTGTATACTCATGCCAAATTGGCTTACAAAAGCTGTCCAGGAATTCAGCTGTGTGGTCAGGTCTAGAACTTTAAACATACAGTAATGTCTACATGGCATGGTGTTTTCTGGCAGCAGCACAGTATTTACTGCTGGTTAAAACTAAGCAAGATTTATGGGCTATTTATGCCAATGTCACCTTTTAGTTAGTTTAGTTCATTTATTATGCACCCCATACCCATATTGTGGGCAGTAGTGGAAAGGGTTACAGAGGCACATAATGGGCTCAGGGACTGAACCCCACAATTCATTTAGCTAAGTAAGTTACAATCTTGATGAGCTAGTTACAAAATTAAGTATAAGTCGTCACATCAACAATGGCTTCAAGATCAACCACAAGTACAGTTTCTAAATTAAGCAACTGACAAGTGTGGAGAGCTAGTGTCACAATTGATGTTTGTCCTGCACACCGCCCCCCATCCAGTGGGCAGCGGTGGATAGGTTACAATCACTCTTAGTTACTACCTACAGTTAGCAAACTGGGGATATTTGGCTAAAATTACTGCCACCTTTTAGCTTAATTGTCATCAATCAATTAAGCGAGGTGTGTGAACCACATAGAGCTTGCCTTAAAAGTAATAATCGAGGTTAATACGATGAACTTATAATTGTTTGTAGGTTAGGCTCTTTAAGTTAGTAGTCTAAATATGTGAAAGTTGTAGTGAGCATCAAAACACACCGAGGCCGCGGGTTTTGAGGAGTTTGTCTTAATTGGCTCATAATTATGAACTTAACGCACCAAAATTATCTTGGCTCTTTTCCAGCCCTTCAAAAAAATGGACAGCACTTGGCTTATCCTTCCACGCAAACTTTGTGGATATTTTCTAAATAAATAGTTCATATACATTTTAATTCAAGTCCTACAAAGACTGGGAGGGGATTGGTTTATTAGGATTAACTAGATAATGAGATGTGCATCTTGGGAGTTTGGTAAACTGTATGTGTGTGTAACTGGACACGAGGTTCAGGAAGGAAGTTCTTCGTATATCTCCCTCTTTGTGTTGGTACACAGTAAGTTATCCTCTCACACAAACAGGAAAGACATGCTCCCCTTCCTGCTTATGCCCTCTTCTCCTCCCCTCTGACCCTCCCCCTTCCATTATCTTTTATTATTATTATTATTATTATTATTATTATTTATATATACAAGAGTTCTTACATTCTTGTAAAGCTACTAGCATGCATAGCATTTTGGGTAGATTTTACTACCCACAAAATCGTTTAACAACCAGGTACCCATTCACTGCTGGGTGAACAACAGTGAATGGGTACAGTTAAGGATTGGCATCCAGTCAATCCTCCCCGGCCAGAATACGAACCCATGCCATTACAAACCCAGAGAACCAGGGTTCAGGATAGTCAGTAGTCTCCAGAGGACCACCTAAAAATCACTATGTGGAGCCTATACTACGTTTTTTAACTTCAGATTCGTTTTTAAATATGTGAACAGTGAAATGTCCTGTAACTACACTTAGGTGCGCACGCACCCACACGCCCATATTAACTCATTAGCTGGTAACTACCTTCATTACACTCGACCGTCATCAATCACTGTCAACATCTTAACCCCACACCACCACCATCTTTGTAGCTACCTTAGCTACACTGTCCTTATTACTTTAACTTCCTTCAATGTACACTTTCTTCATTACACACAAATCACAATTGCGTGATGCATCAAATGAACAAATCCACAAGGGCCGTGACGAGGATGCTGGGATGCTCTCGGACGCAAGCTCGAATCCTCATCACGGCCCTTGTGGATTTGTACACTTTCTTCACTTTACCCTATCTACTACACAGTCCTCATCACTGTAACCATCTTCACTGCCTGGCCATAACTAATTATGACACACGACCATCGTCACTATAATGTGTCTTTACTACACACCATCTTCTTCACCAATTATCTTGCCTACACAACCATCTTTCTGCAGCATGGTTTCTCTTGATTCTGGGGGCTCCCAACACTTAATGTAGAAAAGGTGTAGAAGGTGTAAAAAAACAATATATTGGATGAATCTTAGTGTGAATGGAGTTCGGCATATAACGAGATTAGAATTTAGTATCATTTGCCATTTCATGCAAAGTGGGGTGGTGCATGGTGTTTGACCCTGTCCCATCTATGACCATCCTCCAACAGCTGTCAGTCAACCTACAAAGTTTGGTGAGACTAGCCCAAGTGTAGTATGCGGCATAAGTATGTGATATGCATTTTACTAAAAGCATACCACACCCAGCAGGGATATTTAAAGATTGTCAAATTCTTTGACTTTGTTCAGCATCTGTATTCATTTTTTCCTGATGCTGCTCATCGCTGGAATGTATTGGCATCATTCTTAGGAAAACATTTTGCGGTCAAACGTGTCTGACACAGTATGGTCAGCACATTTTTTATGTTGTTCATGGTATGGGGGTTTAGAGAAAATAAAACATGCACTGGATTCTTTATCAGATGTCAATGAACAGCAAGTGAATATAAGGAGAGAGGCAAAAGGATTGAGCTAAAAATGGAAAACCTGGAAACAATCTTTCTCGCTAATCTTTGGAATGACATGCTAGAAAGAATGAACAAAACAAACAAGGTCCAACAATTAAAGGATGTAAACAACCTTATTGCCACAAATCTTCTTGAGTCTATGCAGCACCTAGCTCCAGGAAACTAGAGACAAATTTAGTGAATACGAATTCAAAGCCAGAAGTATGTGTCCAGACACAGATTACAGTTATGGGAAAAAACAGGAACAAAAACGAAGTGTGCGATCTATTAATGGTTAAGTAACCAGGTCCATAATTACCGTACTGGTGAACACATGAAACAAAGGATCAGTGCCTGACCGTACCTTCCAGCTCACAGTGTAAAGCCTGACCTTTTTTCGCCGACATAACAACTTTGATGCTAACTACACTACTGCAGTGGTGCCTCTATAGTCTGCTGGGTGTCGTGCCTATAATGTGCAATTGCAAATTTGCCAATAAAGATGATAATAATGCATATTGTATGCAAGTAGTTCACTACAAACCCAATTTGCTAAACTTAACATCGTAGTCCAGAATCTAAATTCGTTTATGCGACCTTTCCAGCATCACTCACAGCATGGGTTATGGTAGGCATAATAAACTATGACTGTCTTGAGGCGGGAAGCAGGCGTGGTGGCCGGGCGGGGAAGTGAGTCAGCGATGCGTGGTCAGCTTCACTGATAAAGGGACCCACCTCGTTACTGGAACACTAGTCCACACTTGAATAAAAGCAAAAACAAATTGCCGAAAGGCAAATTTATTGGGCAACGTCACCCATCCTGTGAGTGAACATACTGCCATAGTGACAGTATTGGTCAGCGCCACTCATCTTGTGAGTGAACCTACTGCCATAGTGACAGTATTGGGCAACGTCACCCATTTAATGCAACGTCACTAATTTACACTATTTAATGCAACAGGTAATACAATATGCAAGTTGTACAACTTAAATATAATAAGTAAAATAAGCCACAGGAATATTTTCATAAAGTTTAGATGAGGCTAGTGTAATGTAGAGCTCCCATGTTAAGTGAGGGTGTGCGCTAGGATCCTCACCTCTCCCCACTACCAATACTAGGAAGCCCTGGCGCGGAGCCTCCAAATTTATTTATTTATTTATTTTGACTCGGTAAATATTGGCCCATAAAAAACAAATAAAGCTGAAGATTTTGTGCAATTAGTTGACTGCTTCCTTATGGGGCCAACACAGGAATAAAGTGATGACCAAACAAGACATCAGAAAATGAAGAAGCAACGATGTTTCGGTCCGTCCTAGATCATTATCAATCGTTGGAACTGAAACGTCGTTTTTTCCATTTCTGATGTGTGGTTTGGTCATTATATCTTCAGCCACGTTATTGCGAATCGTCTCCTACATGGTGATAGTCTTTTAAGACTGTGTTAGACTGTGTTAGTTCATAGACACTGATAAATGACATGAAAGTAGGGAGGGAAGTTAGGGAACTAAGGAAGAAGGAAATTAGATATAGCATAGCATGTTTGTAAGGTTATTTACCATGTTTTGCTTTTTAACAGCGGTAATATTGTTTAATATTTGTTGATCAAGAGATAATATTGCTCACCTCGTGGTAATATTGTTCACCTGGCGATTATCACGTTTGTCATGATATTAGGAAGTCTGAGAAGGTTATTTTTAGTAAATATATAAACGGGTTAAAATATTAAAGATAAACAGGTTTAACATGTGGCAATGTAACATTAAAATTATGACAAAAATGTTCTTCAGAGTTCGGGGTGACGATGTTAAGAGAATATAACAACATTCTTCAGTAAATTTGTATTAATTATAACTATTGTGTTGAAGGCGTTCGACCTCGGGGAGCGACCGTTGAGCAGCGAGGCGACGGCCCTGGTGTATGTGGCCGACGTCAACGATCACGCCCCACAGTTCGACCGTGTTCTCTACAGGAAGGCTATACCCGAGGACACGCCTCCTGGCACCTCCGTCACACAGGTGAGTGGGTGGTGGGTGTAGCAGCAGGCGAGGGTAACACACTCTCCGTCACACAGGTGAGTGGGTGGTGGGTGCAGCAGCAGGCGAGGGTAACACACTCTCCGTCACACAGGTGAATGGGTGGTGGGTGCAGCAGCAGGCGAGGGTAACACACTCTCCGTCACACAGGTGAGTGGGTGTCAATGTAGGTTTACAGCGACGCTAGTAAGAAGCAGTGTAAAGAATTCGAGCAACACCAACGCGAAAGTTGAGTACGGTGTACTCAACACCGTACAAGTTGAGTACGATGTACGGAGAAAGTTGCTACGGTGTAGCAACTCCACTAGTGTAGAAGAGGTTGTCCCACGAGTGTCCAAGTACTCTGTAGTATACTGCTCCTGTTACTCTTATCAGTGACAGGAGCTGCAGTGTTGGGATATTTATTTTTTGGTGTACTACTGTACACCAAATACAAACGGGAATCAACTGGAGGGTTTGTATCGCCAGTTTGGTTTAGGCTTTCTCTACCTCTATTTCCTGTCGTGCTTATTCATCCATGTTGGATAATGATCAGGTGAACAGGTAACGATGAATCAATGAGTATGCACTGGAGTAAGCACTCTGTAATTGTTGTGTGGTAATCGCCATCACAAACAAAGCCGTGCGCATCCGGATTCCTGCCCGAAACGCTGCGCGTACTAGTGGCTTTACAAGAATGTAATTACTATGCTATGTATCCTCACAATCCCAATGTACCTTTTTGTATATATATAAATAAATAAATAAATAGATATGCGCGTACTTTTAATTTGCATACGAACTGGCAAGTTGCAGAAACTGAGGTGAGAGGGAGAGATTATATATAACAAAAATTGTCCGCGTAAGAACATTCAAAATATAAGTTTCGGGGAGCGGGGTTGTAACTTTGATGCTTTACATATGGTTCAACAAATGAGAATGTAGTGCTCTTTTTTTAATTTAATTTAATTTAATTTAATTTAAAAGCATTAGATGCTTTTCCTCAAGGAGTGCGTTCACCCCTTGCTCAAAGCTCTTCAACTCTACTTATTGAGAGTAATCTTGCCTGGCAGACTAGACAAGTCGTCACGCGCTAAAGTGATCACATTTAGCATGTGATCACTAGCGGCGTGCTCAGAATGTATAGCATCATAAACCTGCTGAACCTTTCATTTAGTTCATATGCTGGCCACGTGGGTCAGTACTTGCAATCTAATTATTGTAGGTGTTGCAATAATCAGATTGCTTGTATGTAAGCAGTTTTTATCAGAAGGCTCTGACGATTGCTGTTAGCAGCAGCTAGGAACACTAGTGACCTTAAACTTATCTCACAAGGATGGATCTCCAGTGCTAAAAAAGTTTTGATAAGTACACATCTGCGAGGAACCTTGGACGTCTGGCGACAAGAAGTACGTAATTTGAGGCTTTATCGTGACTAGTGGATACATTGACATTTGTGTTCACACGAGCTGTCGGTGCCTCTATGTGTAAATTAAGTGAGCTATAGTGTTAAGTAGAGGTAATAATGGGGTGGTTTACGGCGAGAGGGTTTAATGTGAGCGTTATCTTGGTTATCATGGGCGGTCTTCACAGTCCTCCAGCTTCCTGTCAAGTACCTGTCACGGCCACCTCACTTATCTCCTATGTCATTAAACACTAATATCTAAATTAAAACGTCCCCTTTACCCTTCTTTGGCAACCCATCCTCGTTTATTAAGAATACATTATTCATGGACACACATTATGAAGTTGTACTTGGACACGTGGAATTAAGCTGTACTTGGACACGTGCCTGCATCGTACCTGGATGACCTTCTGAGAGTTCAACTCCCCGGCCCGAGGCCAGGCTTGACTTGGGAGAGCTTGATCCAACAGGCTGTTGCTTGGAGCAGCCCGCAGGCCCACATATCCACTACAACCCGGTTGGACCGGCACTTCTTGCAGATAACTGATTTATTATTTATTATCCAGTTATTTTTAAAATACTTCTTCTTGAAGACTTTGTAGCATGAAATTGTACATAGACACTTGGAATGAAATTGGGTTGTAAGCGTAATATGAAATTATACATAACACAAAATTGTACGTGGTAAAATTGCAGCTTCCGTAGAGGATTTTAGTGAAAACCTGTGCTTAATATAAATTAATACCAGAACAGGCAAGAGCGTCCTGTTCTGAACCCATGTTGCCCAGGGTTATGTAGACGCTGTGATTCCATGTATTATGTGATCTTACTTCTTAGCTCTCTTGCAAAGTTTTTGTGTGTGATGCTAGTGCCATCGGTCTGTAATTTTTTACCACTGCTTTATTCCTTCCTTTATGAAGTGGTGCTATCTCCGCTGCTCCTTTAATATGCTAGGGATAACACCAGTATCTAGGCGCAGTCTCCAAAAATGTTTAGGACGTGCGACAGTGGTTTTTTACCATTCTTGATGAATATGGAGTTGCAGGAATCGGTGCCTGGTGCGGGGTGACTATGGCTACTTCAGAATGACATAGGCATACTGTCTATGACTGTCTATGGCTTCTTCAAAATCCAGTGGAGTTAGTGTAACATCTGATATGATTTGATGTATCACATTCATGAATAATTCGTTTGGGTTATCAATCTTCAGTGTGTTTAGGGGCTAACTGAAGGAGTCTTCGTTACTATTGCCTCAGTATTTCGCTTATTTCTTTGTTGCCATCTGTGAAAGTTCCATCTCCCTTGCGCAGGGGCCCAATACTAGGTGTAGTTTTAGTTCGAGATTTTGCATAGGAGGGAAATTATTTCAGATTTCTCTCTTATTTCACTGATGGTCTTTTTGTTCTTTTTGCCTCCTGGATTTTATATTATTTTTGTAATTTTAGATCAATGTTTTTTTCTCTACATAGCCTTCCTTGTCGTTCTTGACGGGGCGTTCAAGTTGTTCCGGGATTTCTTTTCTTCGCTAGGATATTTCTCGAGCTATTGAGCTTATTCTTACGGGGCATTGATTTAGGCTAGTATTTTCTACCTGTTCTACGCAGCTTATTTCTGAGGTCTTAGTTTGCTGGTTCCCAATCAATCTATTAATTTATTTTGTTGAATTCTCCACCTCTTAGAATTTGGGACTGGCTGCATAGGTCTGTTGTCGATGCTTGTCTGCACTTCAATTAAATTGTAATCCGAGTAATAGGTATTTGTAATCATTATGTTCCTGATTAATGAATCATTAGTTGTGAAAATAAGGTCTAGTGTGTGTTCTTTTCTAGTTGGATCTACTACTTTCTGGTTTAAGGCAAATGTCGCACATCTGTAATAGGTCATTTATGTGCCTCTTCATTTAGGCTAATTCCTGGGATTCTCTCAAATATAACTGTATTTGCCATAGTCCTCTATTTTAGGCGCCGTAGGTTGAAGTCCCCAAGTAAGATGATATTTGGTGCACGGTTTGTGAGGTATTCTAAGCGGTATTATATTTTCATCAGTTGGTCTGTAAACTGCTGAGGATTTGCCTCGGGTGACTTATATACAAGGACAATAACCACATTTAGGATATCTATTTTGATTATCAGCACTTCCACCATATCGTTTGTGGTGTTTAGCAGCTCAGTGTCTTGAGTGTGTCTTTGATGTACAGGCTGACCCACCCTGTAGCCTATGTTTCCTGTTACATCTAGAAAGATTGTACTCCTGAGATCCATATTTCATTATCATGGTAATCCTTTGTATGTGTTTCAGTTAGAACGGCAAACACTGCATTTGCCTAAGTTAGAAGGCCAGCTATAAAGAGGACTTTGTTTGATTTCGTGTTTTTTACCCCTGAATGTTGGAAAATACAAACACATTTATACACTGCAGTCAAAATAAATATATCAAACATACACAAGGACATGCATTAACCTTGTCTAGAAATATTTATACATTAACAACCGCATACAAGAGAGTATACAGTATACTCTTACTACAGCATACAGTATACTTTTAGGTACAATACAAGCATTATAGTTTATAATGGGCTTTGAGAATAGGCTATATTTTGGATTTCCAGTAGACATCGTTTGTCTTGATGTCTCCTTTGGAGACGAGGGTTCATTGTGTTGACTATCTCTCTTTATTTAAGTATACCCTGAAGGATTTTGTTTCCCCCACCAGGGGAAGGTATCTTCAGGAACACCTCATTCTAGGGTTGGTGGGGGTGTCTTGGGTAGGAGTAAAGGACGGTGGACACCAGAGAAGGCAGCCAGGAGGAGCGGTAGTAGGCAGCCTAAGAGGGACGGTGGACACTGGAGAAGGAAAACAGTGCTGCTGAGGTTATCTTGTGTGTCGGGTATTCCCTTGTCGGGGACAGGAAGCATGTTAGGTTTATCGATCGCCCTCTATCCTAGCGTAGGGCAAGACCGTGTCCAAACTATTATTCATATCCAGTTGCTGCTCAAACCTAATGATGTAAACTATGTAGACTATTTTGAAAGGATTCATTGCTCGTGTTTTTTAAAGAAATATATATATTTTGTTTGTATATGCCACCGATATTATTTTGTTTACGCCGTTGGTGTTATGGGTGATGGTTCATCTTCTAGATATTTGTTCTTTTTGATGCCGATAAATGCGTCCCGTGTATTTTGTTTGTATATGCTACCGATATTATTTTGTTTATGCCGTTGGTGTTATGGATGGTGGTTCATCTTCTAGATATTTGTTCTTTTTGATGCCGATAAATGCGTCCCGTGTATTTTGTAGCGTCGTTTCCGTCTCTTCTCCCAGTCCTCGTCACTTAGTGTTTGTGGGTATTATACTACAGTAGCCATTTGTCTGACCATACCTGCAGCTTATTTTGGTCCTCGTATCTTTGCCCTTTTCATAAGTTATGTAATGTCTGGAAACATTATCATGTACGACCTCACCACCTCTAGGAGGTCATTGACATGTATAAGGAACAGGGACGGGTGCCGTTAATAAACGCTATGGCACCCCACATACCATTTTATTATACTATCTTCTGTTTATCAAATACCTTAGAGTTGTGTAGTATTTTCAC